TATTACTATCTACATTTGAAGTAGCTTGGATTTGAATAGGAACAATGTTTGGATTTTCTTGAAGTTGACTTGTGAAAGTATCGTTGTACTCTGGAGTCGTATTATGAGTAAATTCCAATATATGGATGAGTTGAGTACCTGTGGAAAAAAAAAATCATCACCATCGATAAATGAAAATGGTGTAGGTTTATCCAATACCAAGAAAATAGAAAATAAATCATATACCAAATTACAAATTAGCTTTACATATGCTCCTGCTATTTCAGATATGCTTATTTAGGATGTAGTAAAATAAAAAACAAAATCAAGTGGGGAAATAACCAAACATAAACCTCAATCAATACTTCATTTGTACAAATCAAGCGGGAAAATAACCATTACTTATTTCATTGATCGACGTCTTTTCTGGAGTAAAATGTACTCTCTGCAGGACAAACAGAATATGTTTTTACTGTGGCTTATGTAACTTTCTTTTTTAACTGTGGCTTATGTAACTTTCTGTTATAACTGTTCACGTTTGACCTGGTGCTTAGGATGAAAGTGTTGTCTTTTTTCCCCAACAAACCTCACCAGCAAGTGCACGAAAAGAGATCCCTTTGATCCTTGGGAATTAGGATACATATTGCTATTCGTTCGGACGGTAATCATTTGAACACAACCTACAACTTTTTTTCTTTTTTTTTTTTTCTTTTTTGATGTTTATTTGTCTCACCAGGCTTGTTATCTGATGTGAATATCTCCCAGAATCTGCAGCTCTTCAAGATCGATAATTTGGGTTTAGGAGATTTTAATTGTTTGTGTTAGCTGTATTCATAAGCTAGAATGGATTGTTGTAATGTGCTGTATATAACTACTCATCCCTTACGGACATGGTGAAAGGAGAGGCAAATTGGCGTAAATGTATAAAACGATTTGTTTCTCTTTGGCAAAACTGGTGCTTTCGTGATGAAAAATGACGATAGTCTACAAATACATAGAACTGTGTATTAGTGAAACTTGCATCTTTTTATCCAGTAATTATTGGAATTTTGCGAAATTTTCCTTCAATTATGTCCGTTTTGAAATAAGTCATCGAAGTATCAAGAATCTACGAATACAGAGAAATATATTAGAGAAAATTGCATATTTTTTTTTCAAGTACTTATTGGAATTTTGCGAAAATTTCTTTCAATTATGTCTGTTCTGAAATAAGTCATCTAAGTATGAAGAATGAGGCTTTAAATCACTAATAAGCCGCTTAGATACTCAGGGTGAGGCATCTTTGTGATGCTTTAGTGGGTTAGTCTTAATAGAGGCTTCAGAAATATCAAAGCTTCCACTTTCCTTCTCTTTTCGGAGAGTGTTTCTCATGGGAGAGTTTTCAATCTCTCATCGACGATTTCTTGTTATCTTGCTCTCATTTCGGTAGTCGGGACAGGGGTGTAGTGGGTTTTGTTGAGTCTGTCTTTGTGCAAGGAATTCGTTAGGGTTCCTATGGCGGCCTTTAATTCGAGTAATTCAGCCGATGAAGTTGAACAACGTTTGAGGGCTTTCTCTCTATCGTCGGTGGAGAATATGGTTATTGATTTAGGTTCAGAGGATGTCAAAGCAAGTATCGAAGAATGCCATAAAAGCCTATTTGGGAAAATTGTCGTAGATAAGCGTGCGAAACTGCAAGGAGTAAAAAAGGCGATGGGGGCACATATGGAGATTTAAAAGCTTATTGGAGGTCCGAGAATTAGGTACAAACTTCTTTCAATTCATTTTTGAACCCCACGGCGTCTTACATTGAGTTTTTGAATAACATATACGAGATATCCATCGGTACTTGAAGGGTTTTGCGATGCGAACTGGATATCGAAGACGATGGACTCTAAGTCCATTAGTGGCTACGTGTTCACAATAAATAGAGGACATGTGTTGTGGAAATCTTCTAATAATACATGTATTGCTAGATACACATTGTAGTATGAGTTTATTGCTTTGGACAAAGTCGGGAAAAAATTTGAATGACTTAAAAATTTCCTTGAGAATATTCCATGTTGGAATAAACCGGTGCCGGCTCTGATGACGGCAATTGGAATGATACAAAGTAGCTTGTTATAGTATGTCTTGACATATAAGTCAGAGGCACAACACCATAAGGCAGACAAGCTCAAGTAGGGTTATTTCGGTTGACTATGAGAAGTCAAAGGAAAACCTAGTGGATTTGCTTACTAAATGCAGTAACCGAGATCAAATGTACAAGTTGGTTAGAGGAATGAGTTTAAAATTCATAACATAAGAACAGACTTAGAGGTTGCCTAATCTTGTGAATTAGAGATCCCAAAACCTTGGTTCAATGGGAAAACTAAGTTTCAGCAATTTAGTAAAATACTTGAAATTTTTGCTCATTCTTAAGAACCACCAAATCTGAACTTTGCCTAACCGGTAAGGTTATATCAAGAACTTTTAATGAATCTTATACCTAAGAGTGGAGGTGAGCATCGGTGCGGTTTGGTGAAAAACCGCACCGAATCGCAAAAAAATCGAAAACTGAACCTAGCAAAAAAAAAAAAAATCGAACTGCACCGCAACTTAGAAAAAAACTAAACTGAAACCGAACTGATTTTTTTTACACTAGAATAACCGCACCAAAATGCACTTTTTGGCTCGTTTTTTGGTTTTATCTTGGTTTTTCCTTACTTTTTATTCAATTTAGTGTGGTTCGGTACAAAACAGCACTGAACCGAACAAAACCGAAAATTGAACTTATAAAAAAATATAACCGCACCGCACCTCAATGTAGGAAAAAATCGAACTCAATCTGAACCGATTTTCTTTTTACATAAAGAAAATCAAACCGAACAACACTGAATTGCTCTGTTCGGTTCGGTTTTCCAGTGTCGACTCGGTTTTGCTCACCCTTACCTAAGAGTGGAGTAAGGCATGGTACTCTTTATAGGAGAATCATCTTTGTAAGTGAGAAGTAAATAGACTGCTTCAAACGAACACTTACTAAAACAAGATATGGTCCAATGTCGAAACAGACACTAAATGAGAACAAGAAAATGTTAGAGCGCTATTGTTTTTGTTCACTCAAACAACACGTAAGTTCAAACCATCGCTCTACTAACCGACAAGTGTATATGATGATATTTTACTATGGAATATTGAAAGCCATAAGTTGTCTCTCGTGATGCAATGAAAATTCATCATGACTCTCAAGTATCGCATACACACAATATTGTCATTCATGTAGAGGATTGTAAGAAAAAAATGATTTACCAATTTTACGGTTCTATTTTCGTAAATGAAAGACTTATAAAAAATTTCAAAACCATTTTATGTTGAATTAAAAATCAATTCTAAAAAGTTGAAATGTGGGGAAGTTGAGTTTTTGTAACTCAAAATTTAGTTTTGAGTTGCTTAAAAGTTGGTTAGAATAAAAAGCGGAAATGTAGATATTGATTTTGTCATGCCAACAATGGCTTAGCACATTACACAGCACGATGGCTACCGCGACACATGAAGGAAGTGTTCTTCGCGCCCGTGACGGCTAGGCGTTTCTAGAGGCTTTGTCCTGTGGGAAGCCCATCGCGGACACGATGAGCCCGTGACTTGGACACACCTGTTGGTGACGAAAGGTTGCAAACTCAGTTTTTGGTGCATTTTTTCCGCACTGCTGATGTCCCAAAAGGTACCTTTATAGTTTAGACACATAAGTCCTCTGGTGATATTCCCACACATCTTTAAATACCCCATGCATACCATACAATTATTCACTTCTAATTTAAGAGTTATTTGCACTGTTTTCACAAAGATTATACTATTTCTTTTGTTCATAATCTTCATTTCATTTTTTAGAGTTCATAAATAAAAGTTGTGTTCTATGAAAGCTCGTGTATTTATATTACTGTTGTACATAAGTCAAAAGTCATTATATCTTCGAAGCGTTAGTCGTAAACTGTGTGTATTTTACAGGGCTATTTCGTATTAAGAAGAATATATTTTTATGTGTCTCGGCTTATTTCATTTGGTTATATTTTTATTTTCTAAGTCATTCTCTTGATATTCACAAACACCACAAATTAACAAACTGATGGAGACGAGATTGCGTAGGCCTTTCTGGACAAGCATGATCGTTTGACATCATTGGTTTAATTATTTTTTTTTCTTTTATTAGGATCATGGTTAGTTCCAGATTTGGTAGGAAATATATTTAATTCTAGGAAAGATATTTATCCTAGTCCTTTTCTTGATAGGTAAGTTACTTCATTAAGATTTTTAGGAGATCTATTTAAGACTCCTATTATATTGTTTGAAGGGCAGTTGATTTTGATTGAATAAGAAAATAAGAGAGTTCTCTCTCAATTCTCTTATTCGTTTATGCTTTCTCAACGTCAGTTGATAATAGCAGAACAATACGATTCTTATGTCATGCCGCCAAAACGGAACGACACTCTGATGATTGGCGCGACACCGCAATTGAGGCGTTGAGCCGCCAAGTCACAGCTCTGATCATGGTGGTTGAGGAGTTTAGGCTGCCCTTGACCATGGCAACTGTACAAACGCGCGTCAGATAGAGTACGTGGTGGCCATGGGTCGGTGCCTCGCTTCCGATTTCTTCCGTAGTTTGTCGGTGACGATGATCTTGAGGATATCGTCCCTTAGGTAAATTCGTTCGGTACGATGGTTGTGTGGGACAAGGGTCGTTTCACCGATGATTGGCATAGGATGTAATCGTTACAGGTTGAGATCCCCAAATTTTCGAGGGACCTGGAAGCCGTTGAGTTCTTGGATGAGCAAGGATCGATGGAGTATGAGGGTCCGCCTATTTATTATGAAGACGATCATGTGACGTTGGTGGATGACGAGTATCATTTGCCTGAGGAATCTGAAACTGGATTGGAGCAACAAACGGAGGATCTTCAGTGTGACCCTTCTGCTTACAATTCCTTTCAAGCTTTTCATATTGGATGGCCTTGTTTGAGTTTCGATATATTGTGATTCGTCGGGATTGGTGCGTGCTGAGTTTTCACATACATGTATTGTGTTGCGGGAACAGAAACAATGAAGTCTTCATATAATTATATTAGAATATTTAAGTTACTAAATATTTCTGGGAAGAGACATGAACAGGTGAACCACATGATTGACAAAGATGGTTCTGACATGGACATTGAAAGTAGTGATAGTGTTGAGGATGATGGGGACTACGGTGGTGGTTCGATCTTCCCAATTTTGCAGTTATGCAAGTGCCCTTGTGTAGGAAGCATGAACCGCATACGCCAAAATCCTCATATTTGTGCCTCTTGGACAGATGCGAGTCATGTTCAGGTGTGGGGCTTGATCTCGCAATTGAAGCCTTTGGTAGAAAGAGATTCTGCGGCTCTCCATTGGGAATTGCTTGTGACAGATCGAAGAAAGCATAAATGACCGGACTGGTCAATTTATTGGTGAGATTCTACGACAGACAACTACGACAAGTGTGGAGTCCACTGGAGGATGAGAGTTTTCTTGTTCTCGGCGTAACCCCAACAACTATAGCTGCGCAAAGGTGTCGTCTCACATTAGAACATTAGACGTGTTTAATGTCAAACACTAGGTGCCTTACCATGGTGATAATTCTAGTGGAGACGAGATTGCGTCGGATTCGAGGGCGAATCCTTATCATGAGGGAGAGAATGGTGAGACAGGATTGGATTGGCTTTCCTGGACAAGCATGGTCTTTTTTGATTTGGTACGAAAAATATTTAATTATAGAAAAAATATTTAATCCTTGTCATTTTCTTGATAGATAACCTAATTCATTAGGATTTTTAGGAGATCTATTCAAGACTCATATTCTATTATTTGAATGACAATTAATTTTGATTATATAAGAATATATAAGACTTTTCTCTCAATTCTCACATTTATTACAAAAACTGATTTTTTCCTCATTTTAAGAGCGAGCAACAAATGGAAAGTATTCTAGCATAAAACAAAACAACTCATCGTTTATTCATTGAATTGAACTATATTTTGAGACGCAAACATTTGGTACATTTAGATATCATAATCACAAATTCACAATCAAATAAAACTAGCATACTTAATTATCATTCACTCAAACATCTATATCTATATAATTGCTTGCAGAGCATTTAATAGAACTTATTTAATAAAACTTCTATAATTTTCCGCTAAAAAGCGTTACAACTCAATTTTATCATCTATATTTACTAGTAATCAACTGGTGCATTTGCACGGAGGAGAATACTTAGAAAAGATAACAACATAGAAAAAAATATATATAATCATAATTTAATTCATGAAAGAAAAATAAGAATTAAAAAAACGATACTAAATATTATTAAACACTTGCATTATTAAACATTTTGGTCGAAATTATCTACTGAACAAATAATTGCATTATAAACAGTAGCTGAATTGGATTGGATAACATATTAAAAAATGTTGTGAATTGTGCTTAATTTTTTATTAAAAAACTTGTAAGGGTAACTTGGACCGATATTCTCAGTAAGATTATTTGTTTAATATCCGATTTGGTAAAGGCAAAAAAAAAAAATCAAATTGAACTCAATACATATTTTTTTGATAAGAGAGAGAGAGAGAGAGAGAGAGAGAGAGAGAATTGGGTAACAAGTAAGACCGGTTACCACAAAAAGGGTTACAAATCCCTCGACTTAATCCGAGCACTCCATGATTCAAGCTCATTTCACACTTGTTATCGGCGGATCACAAGTTTTTTCTCTCTATAAAAAATATCCAAGATCTCATTTTACTTATCAATTTTTGTCGATAATCATGCCTTTTTCTTTGTTTTTCCGTCGAGAAATCTGAATTCTGATTTTTTTTCGAAAAATAGAAATTTCAAACAAAATAGATATACAACATCAAAACCATTCCCTTTATAGAATTCCGTTTCACTAAATCATAGTAAAATGGTGCAAATCGGCTGATTACATAACAAATCTATCAAGATTTGAAACTTTTTGTTTTAATTTAAGGTTTTCGTCCCTATTTTGCTAAAATGCTTCAATGAATCATAAAAAATAGTACAATATAGCGATTATAGTATGGATCTATCAAGATCTCTAATTGTTTTTAAGAGTTTACGATTTTTTTTTTCAAAAACTGTGTTTTCAGTTAATTTCAGAAGTCGATTTGATATTTTTTGTTTTGATTTTAAGTTGTCGTCCCTAGTTTGCTAACATACTTCAATGAATCATAAGAAAATGGTTCAATAGAGCGATTATAGTACATATATATCAAGATCTGTTATGTTTGTTAATAATATTTGTTTTTTTTATTGGTAAAACCGTGTTTTCAATCGATTTTAGAAGTAGATTAGTATAAAATCTTATTTTAGTGTTTTGTTTCGTTGTTTTCTTTCAAAATTTTGAAATATCTACATAAATATTTGATTTTTTTTTGTCAAATTATAGACTTGTTTTTGCAAAAAAAATGAATGGATCTTGTAATATTTAATGATGTTGTTCTAGTTTTCTGAAAAATATGCATGTTGTTTGGTTGCAACAATAGATCTGCACATAAATATGAGCCATATGTCCGGTTTTCATTTTTATTTTAAGATCTTAAATATACATCATTTTTACTCGCAAATTTGATTGAAAAAAAAAGTTTTGATATTCATTTAAGTTGATATAAATGCACGATTTTAGCTGATACATTATGCAATTAATATTACCATTAGACTGATTAGGTCATGTAATAAAAAACAGTAAAAAAATATAATAATATTATAATATATGTAACTGCTTTAGGCGGAAAATGAAAGTAATATAATTTAATGCTTTGTTGCTCCAAATTATATATATATAATTACTAACAAAAAATTTATTAAAACTATTCGTTGATTCTATGTTTTTTTGTCACAATTCAATATTATTATTATTATTATTATTATTATTATTATTATTATTATTATTAATACACCCTATTCCATTAATATTTCCTTGCACTTTTTATTTTTGAGTTAGTTAAGACAAAAATTGTTATGTTTTATATTAATTGAGTAATAATTGTTTCTTTTATTGTATCATATAATATTATTATTTAATTATTTTATATACTAAATAATATATGTAAGTTATATAAATATAAATGTACTATTTATTTTAACCAATGATCAAATTTTAAAATATAATATCATTATCTAATTTATAATTTTAATATTATATGCATAAGTATAACTTATAATACTCTCTTTATAAAATTTAATATCATTATTTAACTTACAATTTTGATATTATATGAATAAAAATAACTCATAATATTATATTTAAATTTATGTAAATGCACGAATACTAATATAACACATGGAAGGTACAAAATGCTAATTAATTAATTAATAGAAATGAAGTCTTGTCTCAATTGAAAACCGCCTGTCTACTCATCTGGCCGTGCCTATGGTACGCAACCCAAGCCTTGAAGCACGACTTATTAATCCCGACCTCCTCGCATATGCTCACAATCTCCTCTTTCGAATAATCCCTAAACATCTTCCAATCGTTCACTTCCGCAATCACTCTCAGCCTCTTACTCTGTGACTTATCCAACCTTCTACCCTGCCCACGGGACCCACCGTCCACCCCCGCCTCCCGTCTCGCGAACTGCCCATGGCCGGGCGTCGTCCCCCGGCGGGCCTGAGGCGGCGCCGGGGGCAAATTCGGGAACTCGGGGCTCGGCTGCGCTCGGTGGCCAGGCGGCGGCGGCGGCGGCTGGCGGCTGTGCGGCGGATCCGGTGATGGGACGGCCGTCGGGCCGTCGCCGTCGTGGCGGCGGGGGAGGTCGACCTCGACGCGGCGGTGGAAGCTGCGGTGGCAGCCGCACGCGGCGCATGTGGCGGAGTGGCGGGTCCCGGACGGGCCGCCGGGCTCGAACAGGCTGCATCCGTCGAGGGCATAGCCGCCGGCGTGGGCGGCGTGGTTGTGGAGGCACTCCTTGTACATGGCAATGATTTGGAGCTTTGATCCATGGGGGAAGTGGTGGGCCATTTGTGAAGTCGTGTAGGAATGGGATTTGATTTGAGGGGTTTTTAATTTTTTTTTTCTTTTTTTCTCTTATAATATTTCTTTATATTTTAGCTGTGTTTTGTGGTGGTTGATGGTGCATATATTTATATGAATATACATACATAGAGAATTGCGTGTGCCTGAATTCTAAATTTGATCCTTGCAATTTCATTGCGCAACAAAATTATGTTAATTAGAATATTACTTGTAACTTGACCCATTGCTTTTATAGGAAAAATGGACTTAATTTATATGCTTAGTGACTATTCCTGTCATCACCAATTGGTTTTGCTCGAACCTTTTAGGTGTACCTATATGAGACCCCACCCGTTTCTATGACCTGTGGCTGTGATGATTTACCTTTACCCGACTTGCTCTGTGGGCTTGGGCTTCGTATGAAATCTTTACCCGACCTGTTCTTTGGGCTTGTATGAAGGACTCACCTGTGCCTGACCTGATCCAATAACTTACTCTTTACCTGGCCTGCTATGTGGACTTGGTTCTTTCATGGCATACCTGATCTATGACATGCGATGACTCATTCTTTACCCGGTCTGCTCTGTGGATTTGGGCTTCGTATGAAGGACTCACTTATGCCTGACCATGAAACTTCACTAAGGTTTACCTAAGCTCAACCTCTTATGGTGTGCTTAGGACATGTGTTGACTTACTCGTTTACCCGGCCTGTTTTGTGGGCTTGGGCTTCGTATGAAAACTCACTTGTGCCTGACCTAAGACCTGCGGATGGAACTTCACTAAGGTGTAGTTAAACTCACTCTCTTATGATGCGCTTCACATGTATGAGACCACACCCGTTTCCCTGGATTCTTTCAATGCCAATTATGAGATCTTGCAATCAATATGATTACTCCATTTGAATGTCAATTATGAGATCTTGCCATCAATATGATTACTTCATCTGTTCATGTGATCTTGCCGTCAATATGATTACTCCATTTGTTGTAATCTCTTACTGACTGTTCAGTTGTAATGAGTTTAGATTTGTGATTCTAAAAAAATCAGAGTGCACAAAATAAATCATAAAGTTCGTTGTTGATTGGTGAATGAGTTTAGATTTGTGAGTCTAAAAAATTCAGAGTGCACAAAATAGATCATAGAGTTCATTATTAATCGGTGAGTGAAATAGTGTGATATTTTTTAAAACTTAAGTTTGTATTTAGGAAGGTTTTTGTTGGGTTTAACAATTAGGTAAATTAATATATTTGTTGGACAAACGATAACATACTTAATTAGTGAAGTGTCATAATATAATGAATAATATTATATATTCATATTATAAATATGCATTTTTTATTTTATTTAAAGTATGACGGGTTGATTCATCTAATGAATAAACGCGATTTGTACCTCACAAATGATGTTGTAAGGCAACATAATGTTTGATCGCTCAAGATTACTTCATATTGTTTAATAAAAATAATATTTATGATATGAAATGCTATAAATTTAATTATGTTATTTTTTAAAATATGATACTTTACGAAATTATGTATACCTAATAACAAATTTTATGGATTCTCAATTGTTTTCACGTATTTCGTTAATAAAAATTGCCAAAATAAATGAATCCATAATTCTATGGTATACCATTATAACAAATAATTCGAAAATCCAAATTAATAAAATTTCAAAATAAAATTCATAAACATGGAAAAGAAAAGGTAAGTATGGTCAATTTAAGTTTTATTTACTTTTCTTATTTAGTAAGGCAAGATAAACCTAATTTTTGAACAAATGTGCATACCTTTAAACTAATATATCATACTCTACAAAATCAATATATATACACACACATATATGTATATATAAAGGTTAATCATTTAAAATAAACTAGTGGATAGCCTGTGCGATGCACGAGACACATATATAAAATGAGTAATTTCTATAGGGCTTGTACGTTTAGGCACCCAAGACAATAGAGCTGGATCATCAATTTTCTACTTTTTTAATCAGTGATGTTTATTTTAGGCATAATATTAACATGTTAATTAATATATTATTCCGCTAACACGTTATACTAATGTAAATATGATTTTAGAATATATATTTATTTATCGATGTAAGAAAAAAATTATACTTATTCTTATTCACCATAAAATACTCAATTATTATTTTATTATAATATTTGTTGTCATATAATGTCACTATTATTATTTATAAAAGTTATAGAAGTAGCCTTCTTCTTCTTCTTAGTTGTGTAATAACATTTAAAACAAAATTTTGTGAATAAATGTTTACAAAATACACAAACATGTTTTTTAGAATTTAATTTTCTCATCATAATTAAAAAAATTGAGTTAGCAATCTATATATATATAATAAGAATTATTATTTACATAAATAGTAACTAGAAATTTTAGGACAACATTAATTGCTTACTATTTTTGGATTTTTTTTTTCTTTTTTTTTAACATTAATCCTTATCATCATTTGACTTAGACGGCCTAAAAAGTGGAATTTAATTTGAAAAATTCAAATCAAATCGTATCCTAAAAATTTATATTTTTGTTAAATCCCTCATAATACAATCCCATATCAATACCATTTTTGAATTTATTTTCTTTAAACATACAACAGAAACAGTATCCACGTACACAATTTATGCCTTCCTAAATTTAAGTATTTTGTTGGTCCCCAAATTAGTGAAGATTCCTTGCAGGAAGGATTTATACAATTTTGAAAAAATTGGGAACTTGGTGTAGACCCATTACATACTATATTGGTTTTGGAATTTGAATTTTCAAATTTCTTCCATATACATACGCAACTATTCACTTCCTAAAATTAATTAATTTGTTGAATCAAATACGAAATTGTGGTATTGGTTTTGGAATTTGAATTTTCAATTCTTCCATATACATACACAACTATTCACTTCCTAAAATTAATTAATTTGTTGAATCAAATACGATATTGTGGTCCGCCAAAGTCAGTGGAGATATTTTGCATGAAGACTTTTTACAATTTAAAAATATTAGGACTCTTGGTATAAACATTTTGGATAACCTTTTTTCACAAAATAAATTTGAGATGGATTAGGAATTTCAAATCAATTCAAATTCATCTCTGATTACAAGTTAAAATTTTCCAAATTTTATTTTAAGAATAAAATTTATGGTTTCAAACTCGAGATAATGAGTTTGTGAATAGATAATTTTTTTTTTATTTTCTAAAATATTTATTAAAAAATTATAATGACAATAGATTTTATGATAAAATAATAAATTAAGTATTATACCAGAATATGTAAAACTATTATTTTTTATATTAAAGAATAAATATATATACTACAATCAAATTTATATTAGTATCAACGTTTTAGTGAGATAATATATTAATTAATTTACATACTAAAGCTAATAATTAATTTACATACTAGAGCTAATAGGTTGATGTTTAACGTTATGACTAAAAAAATAACGATGATGAAAAGATGTGTAAAATAAATGATTTAACTCTATTTTTTTTAACCTAATGGACAGGCCATCTTGAAACTCAGACCTGTGCATCGCACGAGCTACGTACTAGTTGCCAAATAATAAACCCTTACATAATTAAGAGTTCTTACTAATTTGAATCACAAGGCTTTATAGTTTATTTAATATACTATGCAGTATAAATATATATTTTACAATAAATTCATTATGGGAACAAATAAAAAAAAAATGATAAAAATTATAATGGCTGACAATAATATACAAATAAATCACATGTTGAAACTGTTAAAAATAGTTAATATATTTTAATTTTATTTTTAGATAATTAAATAAAGGTTAAAAGATATTATCGAAAAATATTAATTCACCAACATGATTTCTCCTAGTTAGCTAGAAGAAGAAAATTATTTAACATGTTACGATTCTTTATAAATATTTTAGGATGAAAGTCAACATGTGTGAAAAAAATTAACAATATGGTTAAGACTTAAAATTTGTTTCCATGTTTATGTTGACCAAAATATTATCAACATTAATCACGGAAAATAAAATTATAGTTTATTATAATAGATATCGATAAATTTATTATAGATGTTAATAAATTATTCAAGGAAAGTATGTTTTTTATCATATCTGATTTGGAAACGTGTATATGAAAGCAATAAATGCATATATTTACAAATTTCAATAAAAGGTATGCATTAAATGTTCCAACAAAATTTTAACTATTATTTTTAATAAATAGTTATTCTTATTATATATAAACTAGTACAGAGCCCGTGCGATGCACGGGGTGCACAATTTTAAGGCTATTTATCCAGGCTTATAATTATATACATGAATAAAGAAAAATGTACAAGATATATATAGTACGTGACCCGTGCAAAACACGAGATATATTTATTTGGAGAATATTATATTATAAGATGCAATATTCAATAAACGTTTATAATACGCAAAAATATTGTACAATGTTCAATAAAAGTTTTATAATATTCAAGTAGAGTCTTAAAGTCTCTTGTACATTAAGACTCTGACAAAATAATATTTTAATCAATGAGTTTCCTTTCCTTGTAGCCAAATTGTGAATGTGATTTGAGGAGTACAACAAATCGATATATAGTTGACTTGCTTTTTTCATTGTAGGTTTTTTTTTTTATAATGAATTTAAAGATATTCTAAAATATAGCAAAAATTAATTTTTTATTTACAATTAGAAATTTTACTAAATATAAACTCTCAATCTATGGTGTTAATCAACGTTTAAGTCTAAAAAATTAGAAATTTTTACCTCTTTTAATCAACGTTCAAGTCTAAAAAACAATAGAGTTATTATAATTTTTTTCTACATCTTTTAAAACATTAAATATGAGCATGTTAGGGCTAGCTTGTAAAATAATTAATATATTATCTCACTAACACATTTATACTAATAAAAATTTAATTTTAGCAAATAAATTTATCCTTTGATACAACAGAAAGTAACAGTTTTACTTATTGTTGTTCACCATATAATATTTAATT